GGAATAGTCTAGAAAGTGAAGTAGTGGAGGCGGGAACCATACATAGTTTTAAGGCGAGGTATGATAAAGCTCATGGAGCAGGGAGAGAGAGGACCTAGTAGCAATCAGTGAAGAGGCAGGGCCAGGAGCTATGACTCAACCCCTGCAACCACAAATAGGTGAGTACACAGTGGAACCTCAAATATCGAACTTAATCCGTTCCAAGAGTCAGTTCTAAATTCGAAAAGTTTGAAATATTTTCAATATTTCCCTTAAGAAATAATGGAAATATAATTAATCTTCCAGAAACCCAAAAATATTCACAAAAAAAAAAAATACATTTCATAGAGATTAATTATAGTTTTACATACCCACAACAAATATAGTGTTCAATTATGTATTAATAAATTTAATTAAACATATAAAATAACATTTTATTTACCTTTATTGAAGATTGGTGATGGCTTCTGGAAGATAGGGAGGAGGAGAGAGGGAGTTGGGGTTAGTGTTTGGAAGGAGAATCCCCCTCCATGAGGTCTTCAGGTATCAAAGCCCTCTCTGGGGTTACTTCCCTTCTCTGTCTTTTAATGCCACTAGGACCAGCTTGAGTCACTGGACCCCTGTCTCACAAAATAACTGTCCACAGTTTTCTGTTTCTGGTGCCTCTTTAAGATTTCCCTAAAATGGGACATGGTTCTGTCACTGAACTTGTTGCAAAGATGGTTTGTTTCAGCTTGCTCAGGGTGGTACTTCTCCACAAACATTTGGACATAATTTCACTTCTGTATTATTTCCTTCTTCACATCTATGGTGTTTCTCAACTTCTTTACCACAGGGGTACCACTAGCAAGTTTCTTTGGGCCCACTGTAGCTTATTTCACAGTCCCACAAGCACTAAACAAATGAAATAATCGTAAAATGTTTGAATGAGAGCATCACCAAAACCAGACTGGCTCACGGCGCCTGCGTGGGGACGCAGACAGTGCAGGCTGCCGGACAGGCCCGGTACCCAGCGGTTCGAAAATAAGGGCGAGTTCGATAATAGGGACCAAGTTGGTTCGAAAAAAGGGTTCTATTTTCGAAGAGTTCGATAAGCGATACGTTCAAAATTTGAGGCTCCACTGTATATACAGTCACTAGACATGTTCCTAGAACAACTGTAGTCTGTAGAACTCTTTGAAACATAGTGTCATGTGGGAAATTTACGTAAGGCCATGTTAGAATATCATACAGGATCATACATGACCAAAAAGGGGTACTTATCTGAATTGGTTGACATCTCAGATTTCCATCAACTGCACCCTGGAAATCTCCTTATGATCTCAGCTGTCTGTTTCCCACAGGGGCTGTTGATAATGAGTAACCAGGGTTAAATCTTCACCCTAAGAATATATATTCCAGTATAGTACATTACCTGGAATGTAGTTGGTTACTCTTGCCTGTTATTGGGCGATTTCCCATAGATTACGGCCTAGTAAGAGTAGCCCTATTCACCTTGTGTCAACCAATGCACTGCAGTACACATCAGGTTGATGCAAGTGAGAACAGGACCTACCTTGCTCATGTAACAGGAGCTTGTGGTGTTGATTGCGCCACTTAGACTAAAATTGGTGTCTTGAACGAGGAAATGAGGAACTGGTTAGATAAGTACACTTTCTTGCATGATAATAAATACGTGATAACAAAGAGTGGTACTTATCTTTTAACAGCATGATTTCCAGCAGCCTCTCCCTGGTATCACCTTCGTAGTTATGGCAGTGTCCACAGTGGCTGTTGATGAGTGAGTAAATCCATTACATTTTGCCCCAAAGGAGCGTATTATTCAGCATATCACATTGGAATAGACATGTGGTGCAGATGGATATTCACTGGTTTTTTGTGGTTGATACTCTAATGATGGTTTCTAAGGTGGGGAATATTCTTCTAACATTAACCTTAACACTTCAGTACTTTGGGGTAAATGAAAAGGGAATAAAACCCACCTGACTCATAGCTGGAGTCCTGTGTTGTTGGTGCGACACGAGGCCAATATCGGTGTCTTGATAATAGACTGATGAAATGTCTCAGGGAAATGTTGCACTAATGTTCACCGCAACACTTCAGGAATGTTATTTCCTAATCGCACCAGTTCACTATTGTCAGTCACTATCACTTGCTTATGAGTTTCAATGGATTATCCATGGTGTTGAGATATTTTGTCTCTTTGTTTATGCCTGTGTGTATATGCTGTGGTGACACGTGTTAACATATTGTGATTTATACCATGAAGCATTACATTCGTGTTTGGATTTTACACTAATTAAATTTCTTATTGGAGATTGATAGTACTATTTCGGAGTCTACCACACAAATTCACTGTTGTCTTTGTTCTCGATGGGAGATTTTGTGACGTATGTATGCTCTGAGTCCTGTAGTCAGTCTGACTACTGCCCAGCGGGCGCCCTCAGCCCTCGTCCCACAAAGGAAAATGCTCAACTCTACTTTATATAGCTTTATTGCTACACATTGCAACAAGAATTAACACAAGAGGGCCGTTTCCTTGTTGTTTAGCTGTGGGCTAATAGTTATAATGCCCCTGACTTGTAAACTAAGTAGGGCACAGAGTTTTCCTTAATTTTCCTGCTATGTGGAAAAAGCAATAACTCTCTTTTTAACTCTCATTGTGCAGTTGCTCAGAAATTGCAGCAATGAGAGGTTGTGCATGATAATGCCTGGTACATACATGTGTGTCTAATAAACTGTTGTGGGGGAAGTGGAAGAATCCATTAACCCCTTTCGGAGAGGGCTGAGGGCTGAGAGATACCCCTCTACTGGAGAATTTTCTCCACAGGGTTTAGACGCGTAGCCACTACTGTCTCTTTGTTCTGACACAGTACGGTTCATCACTGTTCACCCTTCACATACTTGTTGCAGTCTGAGACCCCAGCTCCGCAGGTCCCTCCTCCAAGGAAGGATTTCCTGACATAAGGTCTTCAGACTTCCGATGCCAGTATTTGCAACAGGCTTCATCCAAGGATTACTGTTTCCTTGAATTCTAGCTGTGGGCTATAGGAATGCATACCCCAACTTTATCCTCAAGTTGGGGACTATTTATTTTGAATTTTTAATGGTCTGGGGAACCAGCAGTTCTCTCAGGCTCACTCTCGATTGTAGAATTGAGCAGATATTCTCGTAAGGAGTGGGATGTCTCATGACACCTTTTGCTCTTAACATGAGTTTCTGATTGAACATGTGTATGCTGAGCCGTTTCATATCGAGACGTGAAAACAAGGAAGCTAGATCATTCTTGTCCCCCTTTTTGAGAGGGCTACTTCCTTTTGGGAGGGAGATAATGCCCCCTTCATAATAATAATTTTATTTTAGCATGATACATGTTTGTACAAAGGAGTATAACAATTGGGTGTATGTGCCAAAAGCCCCTTTATGCAGAGCATTTCAGTCAAACTTAAAACTAACTTAAGATTAATAAGGCAATAACAGTGCAGTAATTTTGTACATATGGTCATTAGGTGAGTTACAGTGAATACAAGAGAACTGAATATTCTATTAGATCACGTTTGGAAGAGAAGAATTAGTTTTGATTATTAACCCTTTCACTGTTGAGACCCCTGCTCACAAACTTGCTCTCAGTGTCGACGAATTAAATAAAAAAAATATTTTTTCTTATGAAATGATAGAGAATCTTCTCTGTGGTAATGACACCAAAAGTATAAAATTTGATGGAAAACTTACGGAACTACGTGAAGTTAGTGATCATGGCGATGCTTATGCATCGGCAATTTTGCTCAGTTTGAGCCCTATTTTGGCCAATTCCATTGTTCCAGTTGACCAAACTCATAGCTATTTTGCTAGAATTCTTTTTGTTCTATCGATTGAGTACAAGAAACTGCCCATTTACCGATTTCAACTACCCAATAAAGTGATCAAAAATTGGTAATTTTGGCAATTTTATACACAATTCTAGGAAGGCCAATTTCAAAATAGGGTCCAGAATTAACTGTTGAATTAGCATTGCAAACATTCCTAGCATTAAAATAATATTTTCTCTCTTCATTAGTCATGTCTCCAGGCCCCTCTTATATTATGCTTGCTTTCCATTTTGAGTTTTTATTCACACAAAAAACAGAAGATTTGCTGTTATGCTGACTACTGCATTATTGTAAAAATGGTATACAGTAGACTGTCATTTAACATGGGTTTATTTTGCACAATTTGGTTATAGCACAATTGAAGAATTGTGGCAGAATTTTATACAATACTTTGTAAAATTAACTCAACATGGTTCAGTTTGCGGGAGGGGAAAAAATTTGGAGTGCATGGTTGCCCACGGGATCGGCTGTGGGTTACACCACTGAGTCAACAGGGTAGACCTACCACAATTCCTCGCCGCCCTCTGCCACCCCAACCACCCTCCCAGCCTTCAGTTCGGTTCATACGTGTGTAGGACGATCCTCTGGAAGCTCACTGTGTTTGTTTAGATATGTATTTTAGTTGCCATATCTTAAATCTGCCAAGCAATCATGGCATCCAGTAGGCATAGAAGTGTTGCTGAAAGTGGCAAGGAAAGGTATAAGCATTTAAGTCTTAGAATTAACAAAGAAAATAGAGATACAGTGGTCTGAGTTTCGTGAGCCTCGCGCTCCGTGAATTTAGATTTTCATTAGGTTTTTTCATCAAAATAAAGCCTCGTGGTTCGTGATTTGCCTCGTGATTCGTCCGTAGTACGGAATGCATCCGTGCTGCTGGGAGCAGCCGGGTATACACAAAGGCTCCCACACAGCATTCAGAAGTCAGTGTGGCATTGTTTGTGGATGAGTGACCATCTCCACACACTTTCATATGATACATTTTGTAATAATCCATTCTTTATTGTGCTTGCAACTGCTAAATAAGCCACCATGGGCCCAAAGATAGCTTCTAGTGCCAGCCCTTTGGTAAAGAAGGTGAGAAATACGATAGAATTAAAGAAAGAAATCATCGCAAAATATGAAAGTGGAGTGCATGTGATTGAACTCGGCAGGATGTACGGGAAGCCCCATTCAGTGATCACTTGCATCGTGTCAAAGAAAAAGGAAATCAAGGAAGCTGTTGTTGTGAAAGGGATAGATATGCTCACCAAAAAGAGATCGCAAATACTCGAAGATGTTGAGAATTTGTTGTTAGTGTGGCTCAACCCCAAAAATTAGCAGGAGATATTGTTATGCAGTCGATAATTTGTGAAAAGGCAAGGCAGTTGCATGCCGATCTTGTAAAGAAAATGCCTGGAATGAGTGCTGATGTTAGTAAATTTAAGGCCAGCAAAGGCTGGTTTGAGGGATTTAAGAAGCGTAGTGACATACACATAATGGTAAGGCATGACGAGGCTGCCAATTCTGACAAATATGCGGCTGAAAAATTCGTGCAGGAATTCAAGGACTGTGTAGAGGCTGAAGGATTCATCCTCCAACAAGTGTTCAGTTGTGACGAAACAGGCCTCTTTTGGAAGAAAATCCCGAAGAGGACCTACATCACGCAGGAGGAAACGGCACTGCCAGGACACAAGCCTATGAAAGACAGGAAAACTCTCATGCTCTGTGGTAATGCTAGTGGGCATTTCAAAGTGAAGCCTCTACTGGTGTATCACACTGAAAATCTCAGGGTGTTCAAGAAAAACAGTGTCGCTAAGAGTAAATTGTGTGTGATGTGGAAGGGAAATTTTCCTTGATTGGTTCAATGGAGTGTTTGGCCTGAGTGTGCAGGAATACCTCCTGGAAAAAAAATTGCCACTCAAATTTCGTTCTTTTGGTGTCATTACAATCGGGAAAAGATTCTCTGTCATTTCATAAGAAAATTTTTTTTTTTTTGCAAATTTTGCAACACCAGGAGACACCTCAGGATTTGGGGTTGCGACAGTCAAGGGGTTAATGCCACAAGGACCAGCTTGAGCCACTGGACCCCTGTCGCTTAAAAAATTGTTCCAGAAGGGTCTGTTTCTGGTGTTTCTTTAAAATTTGCTTAAAATGAGACGAGACATTGTCGTTGAACATGCCGCATACACAGCCTGCAACAGCTTTGTCAGGGTGATGTTCCTCCACAAATCTTTCCATCCTAGTCCACATTGCACACATCTCTTTAATCTCTGAGTAATCATTGTGTAAATTGTCAGTGATGTACTGTATTACACTAGCTATTTTACTGAGCTTAAACTTTTCTTGTTAACTGTTTTGTCAGACAAAGAGATAGATCTTCTTATCAGTCCTGCTCATTATTGTAACACAAAATGTCCATCAACTTTGAATGACAAGACACAGCATGGAGGATGGTGATGAAGATTTGTCAAGTGTTCAACAACTACTGTATTTTAAAATGAATTTAGAATTTAATACCAGTTTTAACTTGAACTTAATTTTACCTATCGTATGTATGTACGTACTGGAGTTTAGTTGGATAGTAGAAGTTACCCAGTACTGTACAATGTTCCACTGCTAATTGAGGCTTTACTGTATAGGTAGATAGTTTTCTGAGTGTAGCATTGGGTAGCACAGCCTTCAGCAGCTGTGTATGAATGATATAAGTAAATGATCACAAGGGACTTACTCTGCAATACGTACTTGACATTATATAGGTTAGGATCATTAAATGTTTCCTACAAGGCAATCTGGGCTACTACTAATTGGTTATTACCCATTTATTATTTTGTATCTGCAAGTGTTTATGTCAAAGATTTGGAAATGCTTTTATAATAGACATCCTCTCTGATTCTGAGCAGAAACCCTAGTTAACCCTTTCAGGGTCCATCCCATAGATCTACGGCTTTACGTTCAGGGTCCAAACCATAGATCTACGCCAAAATCCTAGCGGCATCAAATTTAGCGCAAGAAGGCTGGTAGGCCTACATCTGAGAGAATGGGTCTGGGTGGTCAGTATGCACACCAGAGAAAAAATCTGGACGCCCGCATGGCATTGTGGGAACGCTGGCAAAGTAGCTTTGTTCATTGTGCCTGGCGGCAAGGAAGCTCTCACTCCTCACTCACTCTCCGGGCGAATTCTGACTCTCCTCTTCACAACTTACAGTTCTAAGACTGATGGAAATGAAGATGAAGATGAATTCTATGGTTTTGAACCATATGGTACCTGTTGGAACTTATTCGGTCTGAGAAGTCCCAACAGGGAAAAACACACCGTTCGAGGGCCCTTAAACCCAACCCAAAACAAAAACACATTCTCTTCCGGTTTGGCGTGGGTGGATGGTAGGTACTTCTTAATTTATAGATTTATCCTTCAGGGAAGAAGTAGGTAATTTTACTGTTAGCACACTAATATTAGGATTATTAAGGCAACTGTAGATAATAATAATGTAGACCTAAGACCTTAACATAGGTAGTAATATGCCGATAATATAGGTAAACACTAGGTTAAGTTAGCTAGGGAGAACTGGCAGTCCTAGTTTGAACGACTGGGCGCGGGTCTTGAAGACACGAGAGCGCCCTTCTATGACCAGACATCACCTGGACAAGACGTGCTGTGATCAGCAGGCGGCGCCCCCCACGTGTCTTCACATATGAGACCTGGGGAAATCTGGTAGAGGCACCTCGATGTACCATAGATGACCTCCTCCATCAGGCCCATACAGTAAGACAAGACCTCCACTTTTTTCGTAGGATTCTGGCCAGTTTCTGGGGAAAATTGTGAGTGAGTTGAACTGTGGGCCTTTGTGCAGCTGGCAGTGCATGCCCAGTACGTACCAACGTCTCTTGTCAGCCTAGAAGCTAGTGTCCGTGTCTGCATAGTTATACTAGGGGATACACACCCCCTTGGATATAGGAATTTCTGAGGTGCAGGCAGGTCACTAATAACGATTGAATATTGCAGGAATTAAGGCTCCCAGTTGCATGTGGTTTCTGAGGGGAAGTCCAAAGGGGCTAAGCTTAGGGAGGTTGAAGATCAGGATATATGCTGCAACACCAAGTAAGTTAGTCCTTTAAACGTGCATGCAGGTGAGATTTCTTGCAACATCAATCATTTGTGAAAATCTTCCCTATAAGCCACTTGTGAGGCTGAGGTACCGACCTCAGAGCTCGATGTCAGCAGAGCTTGCCAGGGTAGGCGACTCACTTGGAGGCAGTCCAGACAAATTTTCACAGTACCATTGTGCCATATGGTACCATATGGTACAGTGGTGCCATGTCATACAATGTATCATATGGTACAATGGTATCGTATGGTAGAGTGGTACCATATGGTACAGTGTACCATATAGTACATTGTACCATATGGTACAGGGTACAGGGACCCTAATGGAAATAAGTCTGTCTGACTTTTTTGGGTTATCCTATGTTCTCCAAACATATGCTGCTAAGTATGATATTCTATGTAACTTTATTTGTGTATACCTAAATAAACTTACTTATGATGCCACATGCACTTGAGTAAGTTTATTCAGGTGTACAGAAATACAATTACATAGATTATCATACATAGCAGCATACGTATAACATCCTAGGATAACCCAAAAAAGTCAGGATGACTTATTTCCATAGTTATCCCTGTATCTGTACCATATGGTGTTCTGTACTGTATGGTACTCTATACCATATGGTACCCTGTGCCATATGGTACCCTGTGCCATATGGTACCCTGTGCCATATGGTACCCTGTACCATATGATACCCTGCACCATATGGTACCCTGCATCATATGTTATCCTGTACTGCATGGTACACTATACCATATATTACAATGTACCATATAGTACCCTGTAACATATGATACCATGTACCATATGGTCAATAGGTGTTGGTGGCATGAGACACCAGCCAAGACTGAGTGAGTGGCGACGCAAGCTAGCTACTTACTCTCCAGTTTCCGAGACAAAGTGCTTTGTCATCCACCTCAAGGAACGGGTCAAGTTCCTGTACACTTGTAAATGTATAATAGAACATTACTAATATATAATATTTTTTGCATATTTTTGTTGTAAACAACTATTGTAAACAAAATAATGAAAATATTAGTGTGTTTATTGTGTTGAATACAACAATACCATATGGTACAATGAACCATATGGTATCATTGTACTTTATGGTACAGTGTACTATATGGTACCATTGCATCATATGGCACCATATGGTACCATTACACCATATGGTACCATAAGGTACCATTGCACCATATAGTACCATTGTATCATATGGTACCATTGTACCAAATGGTGCCATTGTACCATATGGTACCATTGTATTGCCATGTACAGACCATTGGTACCATTGTATAGGTCATTGACCATATGGTACCATTGTATATGGTGTCATTGTACCATATGGTACCATTGCACCCTATAGCACCATTGTACCATATGGTACTATATGGTACCGTTGTATTCAACACAATAACCGCACTAATATTTTCATCATTTTGTTTACAATAAACTTGTAAACAGGTTTTGTAAGCAATATAATGATAAACAAATTAGTGCAGTTATTGTGTTGAATACAATGAGTGTACACTTATACAATATACATTATACTGGTCTCACAGGGCACAAATGTTATTAGAAAAAGAAAAAAATTTGAAAAGAAAAAAGTATAAAAAACGTAAAATAAAAAAATGGGATTTTGCGGAAGTCACTGATGTTGCAGCCACCCGGTCATTTTGGGTCAACTTCCTGCCGCTGTATCTCGGTAAGTACTGATCAGAGTTTGTTTTTTTGTCTTATTACCTTCACAAAAATATACTCTTTAATTCTGTAAGAAAAAATATTTTTTTTTTTTTTTCAAAATTTCTTGGACACTGGAGCACCACTTCAGATTTTGGCCTTGGACCCTGAAGGGGTTAATGAGGCCCCTACCAACCATATATGGTTGGTAGGGTTGTCTACTCAGAATCAGAGAGGATTCCAGACTCAGAATTGAATGTAAGTCTTAAAAATATTGAAAAATGTTGCACTAATTATGTATGCTGTGTCTACAAAAGTAAAAGGTCTTCTTCTTTCAACAAGCTGGCCATATCCCACTGAAGCAGAAAAGTAAAAGGTATCATGCACAAATAACCTGCACGTAGTAGAATGAAACCTGTGATGACATTTCAGTCCAAGTTTCGCCAAAATGTTGTCATAAGTTTAAGTCTCCCGTGTGCAGGTTGTTTGTGTATTGTTCCAATCATAGTACAGTGGACCCCCGCATAACGATTACCTCCAAATGCGACCAATTATGTAAGTGTATTTAAGTAAGTGCGTTTGTACGTGTATGTTTGGGGGTCTGAAATGGACTAATCTACTTCACAATATTTCATATGGGAACAAATTCGGTCAGTACTGGCACCTGAACATACTTCTGGAGTGAAAAAATATCGTTAACCGGGGGTCCACTGTATTGTACTTTTTTATTCTTTAAGGGGCATCAGTTTTTTTCCCCCCCTTAGCATAGCTACTTTATTTTGCTGACAACTAGTCTGGAACACCCAAACATTAGAACTATTGCCATAATTAGCTCACTGAACATTTCCTGATTCAGAATCACTGGATAAAGGGTTGTCTATCAGGCATGTTCTCTGAGACTAGTTCTTGTGTTTGGGTGGCATATTGGACAAGATGTCAGCATGGCATAACCATTTGACCAGAAACAGAAATATCAATCTCAATCTTAAAATAATGAATCCTAACTAGTCATAAGTCGGCCTGTGATACTCCAATACTGAAACTATGTATTGTGCTAAAACAAAAGCATTCACATTGCTAAACTCACAAACTAGTACAGTGGACCCCCGCTTAACGATCACCTCCAAATGCGACCAATTATGTAAGTGTATTTATGTAAGTGCGTTTGTACGTGTATGTTTGGGGGTCTGAAATGGACTAATCTACTTCACAATATTCCTTATGGGAAAAAATTCGGTCAGTACTGGCACCTGAACATACTACTAGAATGAAAAAAGTTCGTTAACCGGGGGTCCACTGTATTTAGTCACTTAGCCATAATACCAACTTACCTCATAATTTGTAATATTTTAAATTTAAGATCTAATCTAAGTCTGCCCGAAATGCCTAGCCATGCTAGGTGTTCTAGTGGTACACTCTGTAATTATTATTTTACTACATATAAACCACACAATAACCAAATTCTGTAAACTCAGCATTGTAATCCTTATAGAGAATAAACTTTTGAATTTGAATTTTGGTTTTGTGACAGATAGAGGATGATCTTTTGATAGCTTAAATAATAGCTAACAATAAATAATAACCATTGTTCACATTTTCTTTACTATTCATGATTTGCATCATGCTCTGATTTCTAGATAATAGATTGCTTATCTGTATACTGTATACATTTCGATATATTTTCTTAACCAATGACTAAGTCTTCAAACATTTGCAGTGCCAGGATCAATATTTCTATCCATCCTTTCAGGTAAGTTTGTTTACTTCGTAGTAAGAGACAATACTAGTCATAAGTCTATATCACTCACAAATCAGGGGATGTACTTTCAGTACCAGTATTCAGCTTTTCATATCCCCACCATATAAATAATAATTAATAATAATAATTGTAGGTAGTAGGTTGGTAGACAGCAACCGCCCAGGGAGGTACTACCGTCCTGCCAAGTGAGTGTAAAGCAAAAGTCTGTAATTGTTTTACATGATGGTGGGATTGCTGGTGTTTTTTTCTGTCTCATAAACATGCAAGGTTTCAGGTACATCTTGCTACTTGTGCTTACACTTAGATCACACTACACATACATGTACAAGCATATATATACACACCCCTCTGGGTTTTCTTCTATTTTCTTACTAGTTCTTGTTCTTGTTTATTTCCTCTTATCTCCATGGGGAAGTGGAACAGAATTCTTCCTCCGTAAGCTGTGTGTGTTGTAAGAGGCGACTAAAATGCCAGGAGCAAGGGGCTAGTAACCCCTTCTCCTGTATATATTGCTAAATGTGAAAGGAGAAACTTTTGATTTTCCTTTTGGGCCACCCCGCCTTGGTGGGATACGGCCGGTGTGTTGAAAGAAGAAAAGAATTGTAGGTAGTAGGTTGGTAGGCAGCAACCGCCCAGGGAGGTACTACCGTCCTGCCAAGTGAGTGTAAAACAAAAGCCTGTAATTGTTTTACATGTTGGTAGGATTGCTGGTGTCCTTTTTTCTGTCTCATAAACATGCAAGATTTCAGGTACATCTTGCTACTACTACTTACAATTAGGTCACACTACACATACATGTACAAGCATATATACACACACACCTCTCTGGGTTTTCTGCTATTTTCTTTCTAGTTCTTGTTCTTGTTTATTTCCTCTTATCTCCATGGGGAAGTAGAACAGAATTCTTCCTCTGTAAGCCATGCGTGTTATAAGAGGTGACTAAAATGCCGGGAGCAAGGGTCTAGTAACCCCTTCTCCTGTATAAATTACTAAATTTTAAAAGATAAACTTTCGTTTTTCTTTTTGGGCCACCCTGCCTTGGTGGGATACGGCTGGTTTGTTGAAAAAAAATAATAGTAATAATAATAATAGTAATACAGTGGACCCCTGCATAACGATATTAATCCGTTCCTGAGAGCTCATTGTTATGCGAAATTATCGTTATACGAATGAATTTTCCCCATAAGAAATAATGGAAATCGAATTAATCCGTGCAAGACACCCCAAAGTATGAAAAAAAAAAAATTTTCCCACATGAAATATTAATTTTAATACACACAAACTGAAAAAGACATGCACAGTTACATGACACTTACCTTTATTGAAGATCTGGTGATGATCGATGGGATGGGAGGAGGAGAGAGTCTTAGTGTTTAGAAGGGGAATCCCCTTCCATTAAGACTTGAGGTGTCAAGTCCTTTTCCGGGGTTACTTCCCTTCTTCTTTTAATGCCACTAGGACCAGCTTGAGAGTCACTGGACTTCTGTCGCACAACATATCTGTCCATAGAGGCCTGTACGTCCCGTTCCTTTATGATTTTCCTAAAGTGTTTCACAACATTGTCAGTGTAATAGTCACCAGCACGGCTTGCAATAGCTGTGTTAGGGTGATTGTCATCAAAAGATTTAGGAGTTCTGGTTAGCAGTAATCTGAAACCAAGACAACAGTGCATAAGTGTTCGCAATAAAGCTAATAGAATCCTTGGCTTCATTCAAGAGCATAAATAATAGGAGTCCTCAGGTTGTTCTTCAACTCTATACATCCTTGGTTAGGCCTCATTTAGATTATGCTGCACAGTTTTGGTCACCTTATTACAAATGGATATAAATTCTCTGAAAATGTACAAAGGAGGATGACAAAGTTGATCCCATGTATCAGAAACCTTCCCTATGAGGATAGACTAAGGGCCCTGAATCTTGCACTCTCTAGAAAGACGTAGAATTAGGGGGTATATTGAGGTGTATAAATGAAAGACAGGAATAAATAAAGGGGATGTAAATAGTGTGCTGAAAATATCTAGCCTATACAGGACTCGCAGCAATGGTTTAAGTGGAAAAATTCAGATTCAGGAAGGATTATAGGAAAGTACTGGTTTGGTAATAGAGTTGTGGATGAGTGGAACAAACTCCCAAGTACCGTATAGAGGCCAGAACGTTGTGTAGCTTTAAAAATAGGTTGGATAAATACATGAGTGGATGGGGTGGGTGTGAGTTAGACCTGATAGCTTGTGCTACCAGGTCGGTTGCCGTGTTCCTCCCTAAGTCAATGTGACCTGACCTGACTAGGTTGGGTGCATTGGCTTAAGCCGGTAGGAGACTTGGACCTGCCTCGCATGGGCCAGTAGGCCTTCTGCAGTGTTCCTTCGTTCTTATGTTCTTATGTTCTTAAAACAGGTTTGCACTTTGAGCCACATTGCACACATTTCCTTAATCTTTGAAGTAGGCAACTTCTTCAATTTCTCTCTCCCCTCCTCTGAAGCAGTTTCCTCAGGTGTGGCCTCATGCTGATGAAGATGATCTAGCAGCTCATCAGTGGTTAGTTCTTTATTGTCCTCCTCCCCAACTCTTCCACATCATCCCCACTAACCTCCAACCCCAAGGACTTTCCCAATGCCACAATGGATTCCTCAACTGGCATAGGATTCCCAGGGTTAGCCTCAAACCCTTCAAAATCCCCTTTTGGTCTACACATTCTGGCCACAGTTTCTTCCAAGCAGAGTTCAAGGTCCTCTTAGTCACTCCCTCCCAAGCCTTACCTATAAGGTTTACACAATCGAGGATATTAAAGTGCTCTCTCCAAAACTCTCTTAGAGTCAATTGAGTTTCTGAGGTCACTACAAAGCACCTTTCAAACAGAGCTTTTGTGTACAGTTTTTTGAAGTTTGCAATAACCTGCTGGTCCATGGGCTGCAGGAGAGGAGTGGTATTAGGAGGCAAAAACTTGACCTTAATGAAGCTCATGTCCCCACAAAGTCGCTCTGCCACATCTGTAGGATGACCAGGGGCATTGTCTAACACCAGGAGGCACTTAAGGTCTAATTTCTTTTCAGTTAGGTAATTTTTCACATTGGGGGCAAATGCTTGGTGTAACCAGTCATAGGAAAAGTCCCTAGTGACCCATGCCTTACTGTTTGCCCTCCACAGCACACACAAATTAGCCTTGAGGATATTCTTTTGCCTGAACGCTCTGGGAGTTTCAGAGTGATACACTAATAAAGGCTTCACTTTGCAATCATCACTAGCATTGGAACACATTAACAGAGTAAGCCTGTCTTTCATAGGCTTATGTCCTGGGAGTGCCTTTTCCTCCTCAGTAATGTAGGTCCTGCTTGGCATTTTCTTCCAAAACCGGCCTGTTTCATCACAATTAAACACTTGTTCAGGTTTCAATCCTTCACTGTCTATGTACTCCTTGAATTCCTGCACATATTTTTCAGCTGCTTTGTGGTCTGAACTGGCAGCCTTACCATGCCTTATCACACTATGTATGCCACTACGCTTCTTAAATCTCTCAAACCAACCTTTGCTGGCCTTAAATTCACTCACATCATCATTAGTTGCAGGCATTTTTTTAATTAAATCCTCATGCAACTTCCTAGCCTTTTCACTTATGATCACTTGAGAGATGCTATCTCCTGCTATCTGTTTTTCATTTATCCACACCAATAAGAGTCTCTCAACATCTTCTATCACTTGTGATCTCTGTTTCGAAAACACAGTTGAACCTTTGGCAAGAACAGCTTCCTTGATTGCCGTTTTCTTGGACACAATAGTAGCGATGGTTGATTGGGGTTTACTATACAACCTGGCCAGCTCGGAGACACGCACTCCACTTTCATATTTAGCAATGATCTCTTTCTTCATCTCTATAGTAATTCTCACCATTCCTGTAGGGTTGACACTAGAAACTTTCTTGGGGCCCATGGTCACTTATTTTGCAGATGAAATCACCAAAAACACTGTAATAATACGAAATGTTCCGATTGTATGCTTGAATGTTACCGCGGAGGCTGGCTGGTAAACGATGCCACCAGCGGAACATGTGAGGCTGGCTCAGGCCGCACATTAGACGCGTCTCGGACGAATAGTGTTGAGCAGGTTTTTTAGCGGTATGCGAGGCAAAATCTTAACGATAAAATGTATCGGTATGCGGATTTAACGTTATGTGATGCCAACGGTATGCGGGGGTCCACTGTAATAATAATAATAGCCTCTCCTCACTTAACGACGAAGTTCCATTCCTAAGACCACATCGGTAAATGAATTCGTTGCTAAGCGACGAACCACCCCTTACTGATACACCTATCATCCAACTTACGACCGAGTTCGGTTCCGAGAAACCGGTCGTAAGTCGAAATGATCGTAAGTCGAACTTTACTACTGAATATCAACAAAACATTTTTGTAATGACTATTTTATTATACAAGGAAGCCTAGAGAACAAATGGATTTGTCAGTTAAAAATAGGAGAGGAGAGTTATTAAATGGAGAGTTAGAGGTATTGGGAAGATGGAGGGAATATTTTGAGGAATTGTTAAATGATGATGAAGATAGGGAAGCTGTGATTTCGTGTATAGGGCAAGGAGGAATAACATCTTGTAGGAGTGAGGAAGAGCCAGTTGTGAGTGTGGGGGAAGTTGGTGAGGCAGTAGGTAAAATGAAAGGGGGTAAGGCAGCCGGGATTGATGGGATAAAGATAGAAATGTTAAAAGCAGGTGGGGATATAGTTTTGGAGTGGTTGGTGCAATTATTTAATAAATGTATGGAAGAGGGTAAGGTACCTAGGGATTGGCAGAGAGCATGCATAGTTCCTTTGTATAAAGGCAAAGGGGACAAAAGAGAGTGCAAAAAATTAGAGGGGGATAAGTCTATTGAGTATACCTGGTAAAGTGTATGGTAGAGTTATTATTGAAAGAATTAAGAGTAAGACAGAGAATAGGATAGCAGATGAACAAGGAGGCTTTAGGAAAGGTAGGGGGTGTGTGGACCAGGT